CATAAGATACTTTATCATGGAGATAAAATCATTGACCATTTTGCACTAATTCCAATAGGTTTATTATCTGAAGAATCTCAGGAATCTCGAAACAAGGACGTGAAGCATTACCGAAAGTTCAATACAAGAAAGTGTAGTAGAATCGCTACTAATACCATAGATCTCTAGTTTGAGATACAAAATGAAAAACACTAAACTTGAAATAGATAAGGCTGCAAAAAATATGTTAATATTGGAATAATGGTAAATTATGATTACAAGAAGAACCTTTTTAGTTTTAATCAAGCACCCCAAACAGTGAGAAGCAAGGGGGCTCACTTTAATCAAGCACCCCAAAGGAAACAGTCCTTACTATGTCCACATCGTTGTTTCTGAGTAGCGCTAAAAGTAAGATTAGCTCATTTAAAGCAACAGCTTCTGAGCACTTGTGAAAAATGAAATTTTAAAGTACAATTTCAGACTTAAAATTTCTCGCTCTTTTCGAATTCGGTGTCAAAATAGAAGTTTTCTATTAAAAAATTCTGATCTTCAAATGACCTTGAAAATTATTCTAGAGTTAAATATATTTGCACAGACAGATGACTCTGATTATCCTAAATTTATTTTGCCTAAAACATGTTCTGGAACCATGCTTAGGAACGGATATGAAGTGGATATATATATGTTCGACTATATAGCTAGGGGGTTATGGATTTGGGGTTTCGAAATCATGGTTTCAGGGCTTAAGGTTTATGATTTACAAAAATAACGCTTCGTAGATCTCTGACGAATTGAATTACCAATAATCTCGTTCAAGAAATTTTTAATTCCATCAAATATTGTTTCATCTAGGTGATTTTGAATCAACCCGCCTCTATAGCTCCAATGTGCGGCGGTTTGCTCTGCATCGTGGGAGTTTGTTCTTAAATAAATTCCCCATTTTCAGATTTATCTCCCCCTTTACACTATATATTATTCCCTATCGCTTTCTGCAAAAATGTTATGTACATCACTACGCACCAAAATTTACTGATTTTCATCTTATAAGGAACCGTTCCCCACCCTCGCCTCCGATTTTGTTGCAATTTGAATATTTTATAGCTTATTGAAAAATAAAAGATATATGTTTGTTTATCGTAGGAAAAAGCTTTTTAAAGAATGAAAGCCACCCTCGAAAGTCACCCTTCAGAGGTGTTTTCTATTGATCTTTTTGGTTTCAATTCATATTGATAGAAAACTAATATTCACAAGAAAATAAGATAATAATCATAGTAAGCCAGAAAGTGCAATTTTTAAGAGTGAAAAAAAGAGTAACAAAAGAAATTTCTGTAAGCGAAATGTGGTAATTAGAATATGTAAACACAGATTTTAAGTGACAACCTTGGCCCTTAGAACAATATCTCTATAAATGATGTAAAATTCAATATACTTACGAGATCTCGGCGTGATAGTGTTCTTCTCAGGGTATGAAAGTTAACAGTAAAGCCTCGGGAAACTTTCGGTTATTTTTTAACATATGTCGGACGTATATTTCAGGCGCAGCATGTCTAAAAATGACTGAATAATAAGAGCAACAAATTTTCATCAAATTGTGTTTTGAACTCGGAAAAATGAGTTCAGACACTATTCAAATGATGCAGAAGACTTTTAGGAATGAGAGTATAAAAAAAAGAGAGGTATAATCGTTTCAAAAGAGGCCGCACTTCTATTGATAGTCATTCTCGTTTTGGCTGACGTTCGACGATAAAAGCATTAGATAATATTGAGCGGGTGCGACTTGAGATTGAACAAGATCGTCGTTTGACTATGTCAAAAAATTTACAAATTATACGCGTGTATGTAAAGCCCATTCCAAAATTGCTTAGTGCAAAGCAAAAAATGAGAAATCGCTCAGGATAACGCAGTAATGGTCAATAACGATAATACTATGGTTAAAAAGGTTATTACTGGTGATGAATCATGGATTTATGGTTATGATTCTGAAATAAGCTAAAAAAAGCACGTTAAAGTTCGGAGCAATGTTAATTCAATGTTTAGTCAATGTTGATTGTTTTTTTCGATTGTGGAGGTATTGCAGACCACGAATATACATCGACAGGTCAGACAATAAAGAACATTATGTTCAAATTTTGAAACGTTTGCCTGAAGGAGTAAGTAGAAAGCGCTACACTTTTGATCAAGTAGTGACTGACTTCACTATCACCATAATGTGCCAACGCATTCATCGAATCTTGTAAACAGTTTCTGAGTAAGCATAGTATTACATTGCTTTGAAAACCTTTGTACAGTCCCGACATAGTCTCTTATGACTCTTTGACTGTTTCTAAAACTCAAAAACTATTCAAAGCAGAGCGATTCGATTATAAAACGACGGTTGAAAATAATGCGACAAGTGTACTTAAGTCTGTCTCTAAACCCCCTGCTTCCATTCATATTGCATTGAAGTTTTATCAGGTTCATTTAATCTATTTTGTTTTTTCAGTTACCCGTCCTTAAAATGCTGCGTATGAGCCCGTGGCAGGCACGTGAGCCAATTCATGGCTGGTTCACCCCACGCAAAGAAAGTAGGAAGACTCGTTTGTACACTCCTTGTCTACATGCCAGTGATCGCTTGTATTCCGTCCTTTGCAGTCAATACTCGTGTGTCTATAGTTGAGGTACTTGTAACATTTTGAGACGTGGAACCTAGATCGAATCTGGCAGTTATTACTATCGATTTTAATTCGGCCTTCCTTGAGCAAGTCTTCTGTTTGTTTCACTTTAAATTCGTATACTGCTGAAGCTTGTCTGCGGTTACTTTCCTCAAAAACGTGGACATTTTTCTCGGTGTTAGTTCAGATGGCGCAGTTGAGGGTATTCGTGACGTCCTTTACATTTGTACCGCAGTTTAAGTCCAGGCATTCCAGCGTCACCATGGAAGTCGTGCCTTTCACTCCAGCGGTATTTTCTAGTTCGCTGCGTATTACCTTTCGAAACACCTGTCCTACTTCGTCCTTGATAAGTTGTAGAATTATCGACCCCTCTATGGTCTTTCGTATATCTTTAATGTCTACTTTGCTGTCCATCAGGTTCATATTCGATCCGCGAACTATGGATCCCTAATATTCATACATTTATTACACCTGTTAATGAGGTTCCAAGTTCATTACACACGGAAAACCTATTGAAAGTTGACGGAAACTGTGCCATGCCTGCAAACGAGTAGATCCGGAAACGATGTCCTCTTTGTGGTATACAAAACGAAAAGAAAAACTTTGAGAAACGAAATAAAAGATAGCAAAAATCGATTTTGAAGATAGTTCTGTGACGTGGTGGATTGATATCTCTGGAGTCTGTGATATAAATTAGTCACTCAGAGACTAAGAGCCTTTGGCTTACAAGAACTTTAACAAAAGACGACAATGAACAAAATAGTCGTCGCTTTTTTCCGACCCACCCGGGGACGGAGGAGAACAAAGACTATTGTGAACAATCTGTTTCGGAGTTCACCAAAGAGAAGCTCTTTGATGCTACCTCCTTGATTGAAACCAGCAAGGCAACTGGACTTAGCCGTATTCCGGTACAAACTGTGTGCTATTATGTTCAAGTTTGCAAATCATGATAATTTTTAAAAAGCAATAAACATGAAAATAGTAATAATAATAAAATGCAAGATCTGTTGAAGAATGGTTTTATTCGAGCGTTCAAGCTGATTAATTAATGAAATTATTGCACAGTAACATATAATATTCTGGAAATCGCTTCTATCTTTAAAAAATTATAAAAATTGATATATCAAATTAATTTGTGTTTATTATGCGTGAATACAGCTGTAACGCTTCAAAAATTCATGATAATTATTTAATTTGTATTAATTGGTAGAAAAATTTATCATAACTGTTGTGTCTGTAGTTAATCTTAAATTTTAGATTTAGAAGAAATACTTTGAAAATTCTATATTTATTCTGTAATCTCTTAGTTATCAAATTAATAACAGTCGAGAGTTACTATTACGAATCTTTTGGGTAAGGCTCACTTTATGAAAATGTTAATAGCATCTATTATTTAGTTAACGAATGAAATTATTGGTAAATAATAAATTGAATTGACTAATTGTTTAATACTGTATTTTGGAAAATCAGCAGTAGATGTGTTTACAGCTCAGATCAGCCGTTGTTAGAAGAATTCAATAACACTTTATCACTTTATAATAGATTTGAAATAATTTATTGAAAATCAACCAAGTATTCCTTTGTTACAATGAAAATAAGATATGAATACGTATGTACAAACTAACGATAGAAGTATAAGCGCCTAATTGTCAAACTAGCGTTTGCATGTAGAGCTGAATTCAATAATTTGTGAACTGAACCAAACTATCTGCAGAAGCGTATGCTGGTCTGTATATATTGTTTGAATTGCAGTGTATCGTTTTTCTGTTTTGAAAATATGACTAATATAACGTGGATTTGCTTCGTTATGTTTTTTTATGACCTGAATCGATCCAAATTTTTTTATTCTTGCAAACGCACACATAAATTTAGTCTCGTAAGAAGTTTAAATTTCAGAATTGTACCGATAATTTTAAAATTTGAAAGATTTGTAAAAAGTATAACAGTTTACGTAAGAAAATAGGTTTTCCTATCTATTTCTTGCTGAAGCAAGAATGATCCCTTTATTATAGTTTAAATACAATTTAATGCCATTATTCCTGGAAAAAAAATTTTCCCATCACATAATTATTGAACATTCTGAGAGGGATGGAATACAGAAATTATATGGTAGAAAAATTGCAAACTCGATTTTTGCATTTCATCTAATAAAACTGCTGTCGACGTTGTATAATTTACATTTTACATTAATTATATTATTTTTGTTTTTCAGATAGTTAAGTCTACATTACGCAATCTATGTTTAAAAGGAAAATATTCTTCATATTAAAAGATGAAATCGGGAACCTACAATATTATCGTTTATATTTCGATAATAATTATGATTAAAATATCCTTCCAAAACTTATTATGGAAAAATTTATTTTGCAGAAGCTGTAAATTGTTTATTGAAAGCAGTAGAAATATATACCGATATGGGCAGGTTCACAATGGCTGCTAAGCACCATCAAAACATTGCTGAAATTTATGAAAACGAGGCTGCTGATTTAGACAGAGCCGTTCATCATTACGAGTTAGCATCAGATTATTTTCGTGGAGAAGAGAGTAACTCATCAGCAAATAAATGCTTGTTAAAAGTAGCACAGTATGCTGCGCATCTTGAAAATTATGAAAAAGCAATTCAAATTTATGAACAGGTAATATAAAACATCATTTACAAAGTTTATTCAAACAGAAAAAATTGTCAGAACAATAAATATAACATTAAATTTGTGTGGTATTGTATTTCATCGTTCAATATTCAGTACTGCTCATAAATTTTCGAAAATTTTGTGGAAGAAAAGCCATTCCTTATATATTTCTGATTCTATTGATCGTAGAATAAAAATAAAAAAGGTAAATTAAAATAGAGGAAAAATACTAACTTTCTATGAGGCGCGGAAGTTTTTAATATCGTCTTTCCTATTTTTTATACCACTTGTACCAAGTGCCAATTTACCAAAGTTTTTGGTAATTTTTTCACTCAGTTGTATTTTTGAAAATATTGGTGATACGTCAAAAAACCTGATAGAGATTGTGACAGGTGTGATTTCCGTGTGTTAATACTTATGTCTCACCTAGTGCGCAGTCGTGCTGAAATGCGCGCGATGAGAACGAAATAAGCGATTTTTAACTAATCGAGGAGCGGGGAAGGACAGGTAACAGTCAACCAACTAAATAATAACAAGGGACGAAAGTGAATTATTGTTTCGATCACACAGATTAGTTTATTGACGATATTTATTTACAACGTATTTGGCTCGCGCGAGAACATTTATTCTAAATGTACAATAGTGTCGTGTGCCGCCATTTACGTGACACCGTGCATTCAATTCGCTCGCACGCTCGCTCACTACCGGTTTCTTAATATTCGCAAACGTGAGGGGAGAGTTAAGATATTACGCGCGGTTGTGATAAAATCATGACTCGAAGCTGGCTAGCTTACCTTGAACGATTAGTCGCGTTATCAGGGGGAGCAATTCGTCGTCGTCTTTCGACGTGTGGCTCAGTTTGCCGTTTTCCCACACAAAACGAGGCCTCCTCAATCACCCTACTGCTTCCACCAGGTTAATTCGGCAACTTCGTGACCGACCTACGATGGCGTATTAGCTGTGCTAATGCGATCCCAGCAACAAGAAATTATTGGCAATCCACAAATTTTCGTATCTACGCTCCTTGATTTCTCGATATCACGCTCTCACACTCTCAATGTTGCCGATGCTAGAGGTACTTTCTCATTGATCCTTCTCTTTTCGCGCGCGTTCCGCCCCATTTCGCATCGAGTTCCCTTTTCATTTTCTCCGGCCGGCAGGTGCTGCCCTCGCTGGCAGTCACGCGATCGAAACGGTAGTGCAAACCGGACGCTTACCGTCACAAGATCAAAAATCTTAAAAAAATCTAAAATTTATTACTAACAACATTTTTCGCTACGATGCTTTTTTTAAAAAGTAACAAGCGATTGAATATCACCACTACCGAAAAGTGAAATGTAGTGTATACTCTCCCTTCAATAACTCTTCTGGAACTGCAACTTATAGTTTAATAGAAATTCTTAATTTTGATTACGAAAATGAAAAGAACCAAAAATTTTACGATTTTATGTTAAATGCAAGGAGTAAATCTAAAAAATAAGGTCTCTACTTTGAAAAGATATAGTTATTCTTAAAATTAAATAACAACAGTAATAAAAGATCACAATGAAAATAACAATAATTCTTGTAAATATTAGGATAAATAGTTTTTTAAAATTATGTTATAAATACTGAACAATACTTTCAATCTTTTTATAATTTTGGAATCGATTCTTTGGTAATGTAATTGTTCAGGCCTCAGCCTACATTTTTCAATCTTTCCCTCAACATATACTATTAGCTTCTTTTCGCTCTAATCAAAGAATTCATGGCAAACAGTTGTGACGTCATGGCTTTACAAACATTAAAAGTAAATGTTTGGCCTTGTCTCCTGAACAAGGATATAAAGATCAGTGCACCGGCTCATTCAAGTAATTATTTCGAGCAGATCAACCAGCTTCGGATCTCACTGAAGCTTTCCAGCCTTTTATTAGGGATAGAAGTACAACAAGGTTTGATGCATGCGGCAACTTCTTCGGCAATTTTACGCTCTCATTAGCTAGTCAAGCGTGTAAAAATGAGATGTAGCAGAAGTACGTACCTTTGCTACTTGACTACCTGCTATTTTTTAAAGCACGCCACACATATCATGCTGAGTTTGCATATGCCGTTTCACGAAAAACCTGACCTTGACGTTTTCATGTCTCTTAAATTCCATCATTGAACCAAGTAATTAATTGTAATTTTTAAATTCAATCACGAAATGTAACAGTTATTGTAAAAAAATATACAGAGTGTTCTAAAAGTCTCAAACCGTCCAACAATTCGAACGGAATGTGTTATCGAGTCAAATGTTTTAGATAAAGTTTATATGACATCGATGACGTTGCTTTTGTTCTCAAGTTATTTTTAAATTACTTCCAAGATCCAACTTCCATTTTTTAACCAGAAATTCCTTTTGAACCCAGATTCGGTACCAGCGTAAAATTTTACTTTTAGATGATCTATCTTGTGATGTGTCCAAGAGAACATGATAAATTCCCTAAGATGATTACCAAGATCATACGAATTTCAATGTTATTATTTTTCAGTCTACCAAAATGATCCTATAATAATATGGTTCAGCGAAAAATGTTTTAGACGAAGGATTTTGAAGGGAACATTTTGTAATGAATTCAACTTTGACCTTGAAGTCCTTTTTTTAGATCGTGTGACAGGGCTATAGCGATGTTCGCTGGCCCTGTGTGCGGCACTTTCCTCGCATGAACGCAGCGACCAAGTATACGCTATAGCGACTACATACTTGTGTCTTTGCAGGATCTGGAGAGAGGAGCGTGACGATCGGCAAGGTGTCGCCGTGAGTGCGAGTGAGAGCGTGAAGAGCGAGAAAGAGAGAGAGAGCGATTTCGACTGATTTTTGACGGCGAGAGAAGTGGGAGCGCGGGGTGCGAGGCTGAGAAAATTAAGAGAAAATAAGGGCAGTTAAGCGGGAGCTCTCGAGTAACTAGGGCCACCTAGAGAGGAACCATTGCCACTAATGCGACAGTTATACCTGCCAGTGAAGAAAGCTATTTTGGAAGCAGCAAGTTTCCACAGCGATCATTCGTCGACCGAGGAGCAAAGGCCGTGCTGCGGCCCTTCCTGCGGCAACTTCCATCGTCGCCAGGGCGCCGTTTTCAGCAGGTCTCCACTTTCTCCGGCGTCGCCTCTCTACCGACGGACCGTCGGCATCCGGTGGGTCTAACGCCAATTTACTCTCTATCGCGCCAGCTCTCGCTCGATTGCAGATTCTAGCGTATTATTCTAGCGTATTAAATTCTAGCGTATTTTATCACGCACGCTGAGCGATTTCGCTCGCGTGATCCCGCGAACTCTGATCGCGGAAAGGCTGAGCGAGCGCGCTCGCCCTGGTATATTAAATCTTGTAGTGACTCTGTGAGAAAATGCATCAATAAATGAGATCGCCATATGTAAGATAAGTTAATTAAAGTGTCCGATTATTTGAATCATCCTCCCCAACCAGTGCGAACGTCGGCCCGTGAAAGTCAGCGTCGGCTTTCTTGACTGAGAAAGATCCCAGTAAAATTCAGCAGAGACCAGCCCAAGGCGCGCGGTGGCTGACCCCTTTTGCAATCGTTACACTGTCATCTTTATTTTCTTTTACAGAAATATCATCTCGATCTCAGATTCATGCATATTGCATGACTAACTAATAAACTTTTTGTTATTTCAAATAATCTAATAATTCAACAAATCAAGATTACAATGGGTATTTGGTTGACTGTTTCAATCGAATTCGGAACGAAAACGAAGATTTTTGAATCAGTAATTAATAATGAGAATCTTATAAAAGAAAATAAAAATGACCTTCAAATGACCTAGAATATGAATTTCAAGGTCAAAGTAGAATTTACCACAAAAGGCTTCCTTCAGAGTCCAGTAACTTTCATATGAAATATTTTTCGTAGAATTATATTATTGTAGGGTCGCTTAAATACATATATTATAAAACAGTTACATTGAAATACATAAGACCTTGGCAATTATATTTGAGGAGTCTCCTGAATCTCACACATAATTGATCATCTGAACGTAAAATTTTTCTCTATAGCTCCCGGGTGATGCTGCTGCAACTCTGTCCTGGCTACCTTTGCGGTTGCTGCTCCTCCACTCTCCTCTGTATCAATCTCAGTGCTGCTCGTTCGCGCTTTCACCCACTCACGTACCAAAAAGAACCAAAACTACAACTCGGCGAACGGCAAAGAAAGCACACGAAAAAATTTGGCGGTATTCCGGTAAACAGCTGAGGCTATATTAAAACTTAATCTCGCGCACGCCCCCTCTATCTCTTAACCGTTTGGTCTAGCGCTTCGAGTGTTGCGGAATCGTGAACGTATCGATTGTTCGAATTGACTACCGTTGCTATTATAACATTATAAAAAGTCTGAAATAAATTTGTATTACTATTTCAATTTTACTTATCATCACATTATTCTTATTATTATATTATTATTATATAAGTCGATATTTTTTCACTATAAAACAATTATTATTCTTGCTGTTGCTGTTATTTTTGTTGTTCTTGTTGTCAAAATCCAACAAGTTAAAACTTACTCTTATTATTTATTGAAATGATCTTGGGACCTCTAACTAGTAAAATCATTCTGAATGTAAAATTTTTCATTCTTTTCATTTTCGTAAACAAAATTAGAGGATTTTATTAAAAAAATGTCGACCCATTTATGACTTTGAAGACTAAGTTCAAGGATATATCCAAGGTCACCATATAATACTTTTCTCTAAACCTTACATGTTTTGCATTGACTATATTTCCGATTTCTATTGTTCCAGAGGAGTTATTCAATTGCGAGTGTATGCATTTGAAATGGGTAAGTTTACATACGAGGGTGGGTTAATAAGTCCTTAGAAAAAGATAGAAAAACAATTTTTTGATAGATTTTTTTATTCTTCAACATAATCTCTTTTGAACTCGATATACTTTTCCAAGTTTTTTTAATCCATCAGAAAAAAATAATTTTGTAAATTCCTCAAAATAGCCATTTGTCTGTGTTATGACCTCCTCGTTC